AGAGAAAAAAACTGAGAGAATTAATTGTCAGTAGGCCTGCATTATAAAAGATGCTGAAGGAACTTCTTCAGACTGAAGCAAAATGACACAGGATGACAACTTGGATCTCCAGGAAGAAATAAGACATCAGAAATCTTAGTGAGTAAACGGAAAGGAATATATCTCTTTTTTTGTCTTAAATTCTTTAAAATATATATGAGGGGCCAGGTGCCATTGCTCATGCCTGTAATCCCAATACTTTGGGAGGCTGAGGTGGGAGGATGACTTGAGTTCAGGAGTTCAAGACCAGCTTGGACAACATAATGAGATCCTGTCTCTATGAAAAAATAAATAAATAAATTAGCCAGGCATAAATGTGTGCACCTGTAGTCCTAGCTATTGGGAGGCTGAGGCAGGAGGATCACTTGAGCCCAGGAGTTTGAGGCTCCTGCAAGCTATGATCATGCCACTACACTCCAGCCTGGGAGACAGAGTTAGACCCTGCCTCAAAAGAAAATAAAAATAAAATAAAAATAAGCATTTAAAGCAAAATTTATGATGCTATGTTGAGTTGATAACATTTGTAGATGCAAATTATATAACAATATCACCCAAAGGATAAAGATAAATGGAACTATAGTATTGCAAGATACCTATATTTTATTTACAATAAGTCAATATTGATGATTATTAGATTGTAATAAGTTCAAGATGCACACTGTAATCTCTAGCAATCTCTAAAAATAATGCAAAAGGATATAGCTAAAACATCAATAGAGTTATTAAAATGGAAAGCTAAAAAGAAGCATGAAAGAAGGGAAAAAACCAGATGAGTGAAAATAGAAAGTAAATAGCAAAATGAAAGACCTAAATCCAAGCATGTGAATAATCACTTTAAATGTAAACAGATCAAACATTTCCAAAAATGCAGCAATTGACACCCAAATCACAGGCAACAAAAGTAAAAACAGATAAATCAGACTACATTAAAATTAAACACTTCTATTACATAAGCAAAAAAAGGTATCTGAAAAAAAAAAACTAATTAAGTTAAGCACTTCTGCTCCTCAAAGGAGACATTCACCAGAGTGAAATTAACCTACAGGATGGAAGAAAATATTTGCAAGTCATATATCTGATAAAGGGTTATTATCCAAAATATATATTTATAAGAACTCCTATAACTCAACAAAAAAACCCTTGATTTAAAAGTAAACAAAGAACTTGGAGAGACATTTCTCCAAAGAAGATATACCAATGTCCAATAAGCACATGAAAAGATGTTCATTGACAATAACGACTGGGAAAATGAAAATCAAAATCATAATGAGATACAAGCTCACACCTAGTAGGATGACTAATATAAAAAAACCAGAATATAACAAGTATTAAGAATGTGAAGAAACTGGAATTCTTCTGCACTGTTGGTTGGAATTTAAAATGGTGCAGTTGGTGTGGAAAACAGCATAGCATTTCCTCAAAAAATT